CAGTTTCAGGTCTGATGTTGAGTTCTTCAATCCTCTTTGAGTTGACGAACAGGGATCCACTTTTAGTTTTCTGCATATGGATGCTCAATTTTTCCAACACCAATTATTGAAGAGGCTTTTTTTCCACCAAGTACCTTTTGGCTCCCTTATCAAATATCTGTAAGTATATAGAAGCCCTGCAATCTTGTGTGTTTGTGTGTGTGTGTGTGTGTGTTGGTTGTGGGGCCTGAACTCTGGGCCCGGGCACTGTCCCTCAGCTCTTCAGCTCAAGGCTAACGCTCTACCACTTGAGCCACAGCACCACTCCTGGATTTCTGGTTGTTTATTGGAAATAAGAGTCTCATGGACTTTCCTGCCAGTGTTGGCTTTGAACTGTGATCCTCAGATCTCAGCCTCCTGAGGTATGAGCCACCAGCACCTACAAACCCTGCAATCTTAGTCTAGCTCTTTGTACTTTTATTTTCCAGTCTCACTTCATGGCTGGGGCTGTTGTTTATGCTTCTTAGAGCTGAGATGGCAGTGGTTCACCCACTGCACCCTGGTTCTTATGGGTTGAGACCTAGTCTCAAACCACAATTCTCTAAATCTTTGAACAGTATCTCTTCACGTCCATCCAGCAAGCAAAAAGGCTTGTGTGTACTGTAGTTCTTCTACTTCACTACCTAGTGCTGTCGTTGCTCAAATCTTCCTTTGGATTTGAACTTCGTACTTTAAATACAGCTGAGTCACTTACAGTCCTGTTGCCACAATTAATGCAATCGCCTCTGGCTGGCTAGCTTCCCATCTGAGAATACTATTTCCTTGAAACGTTTTTGTCATGGGGCTTGAACTCAGGGCCTGGGCACTGACCCTGAGCTCAAGGCTCAAGCCTAGTGCGTTTTACCACTTTGAGCCACAGTGCCACTTTTGGTTTTCTGGTGGTTAACTGGAGATAAGTCTCACAGATTTTCCTGCCTGGACTGGCACTGAACCACGATCCTCACTCCTGAGTAGCTAAGATTACAGGCACAAGTCACCAGCACCCGGTGATAATTTTTTTCTTTTGAAGAACAATTGATATACCCACTCATATACACCGGTGTTATTTGGTAATTTCTATAAAATCATCATCACCAACAGAACCATCACCTCAAACATGCTCCCAGTGACGTTTTTCTCTCTGCTGGCCTTCCTTTCCTTTCTGCCCTAAACAACTGTTGATCTACTTTGTAATTTGCATTATATGTGTATATGTATTATATATAAGCACAGACTGTAGTTTTTCCTCCAGTACATATATTTGTCTCAACAGTGTCCTTTGAAGTTCTTGCTTTTGGTAACATCGTTTATTCATTGAAAAAATAGATCTTGTGGCCAGAGAATTGGAGGGGAAAGGGCCAATAAATGCATCCGTGGTACTCACTAGACACTATGCTGAAAATGAGCCATACCACTTGTGTGTGGGGATGGGAGGGAAAAACTGGGAATGAGTGACATTGTCCCAAACAAATGCACTTTTTTTCTTCGTTGCTGTTGGGTCATGGGGCTTGACCTTAGGGCCTGGCTGATGTCCCTGGGCTCATTTTGCTTAAAGCTAGCACTCTACCACATTAAGCCACAGTGCCGCTCCTGGTGTTTGGGTGGCTCATGGACTTTCCTGCCTGGGCTGCTTTAAACAGTCATCTTCAGATCTCAGCCACCTGAATAGCTATGATTGTAGGTGTAAGCCACCAATGCCCAGCTTAAGAAAGGTACTCTTTACCTGACTTATGTAACTGTAACTCCACTGTACCTTTATAATAACAAAAGTAAATAGAGAACACTGAGACGTCACATTTATTGTCCTGTTTCCAAACTGCAGCAATTACAATCATGTTGGGGGCACAACCAATTTTAAGTTCCTGCCTCTGAACTTTTCAAATCGACCAAAAGAAGTTAACATCTCCCAGTTAGTGTAAACACATGGGCTATCTCATATCCTTAGAATGGAATGCTTTGGAAGTCTGGAAGGGAACATTCCATATCCGTTAACACAGTACTTGTAGCTCTAGGAACACATCCATTAAAGTCTTAAATACTCACTATTTCAACACTCCCATTTTCAAGAATGAAAATTATCAGCTGGTAACAGAGACTGGGTAGTGGGATGCAAGCAACTAACTGATGGCTTACATCTGTAATCCTAGCACTCAGAGGCTGAGGGAGGGACTGCCCAGCAAGTCTGAGGTTAAACTGGACTACAGTGACACCATCTCCAAAAAAAAAAAAAAGTTAAACCAGTACCAAAATATAGTGCTGCTTGGTACGGTTATGTATAGTGGAGAAATGAATATTTAGCCAACTGTTAGAAGAGCCCATCTCCTATAGAAAAATGGCATGCTCAGAACACAAAAATGATGTTTCTCCTCTGCTTTCAGTACTGGTGGTGTTCTTTAAAAGTCCAAAGAACGTGTGAAAATACAATTCATTTTTTTATTTTCTGTTGGTCATGGAACTTGAACTCTGGGCTTGGGCGCTGTCCCTCAGTAATTCAGCTCAAGGTGAGCGTTCTATCGCTTGAGCCACAGTGCCACTTCCAGCTTTCTAGTGGTTTATTGGAGATAAGAGTCTCAGACTTTTCTGTCCCTGGCTGGCTTTGAACCATAATCCTCAGATCTCAACCTCCTGAGTAGCTAGGATTACAGGCATGAGCCACCAGCGCCCAGCTTACAGTTCATTTTAAAAGCCATTACTGACGTCCCAGAGTTAAATCTGCATGCTGTGCATCACAAACCCCATCTCCTTATGAAGGAGGGCTAACCAGCACCGGGGTCTGATGTTTAATACTAAACTCCTCTAGCAGAACAGAACTCTGCCTGTATTCCCAAGATACTTAATGCTGCTCAACACACCCTCTAGTGGGAAGCCCCCCGAACAACCTGTTATTAGCAGAACATTTTTTTAAAAGGGCAAATAGGACCTTTCCTCTCTATTCCAATTCAGTGCCAAATTCCTTCTGGAATTCCAGTAAAACTTATTAGTGCCTTCTGTTTGGTGGGGAATGTAGGAATTCTGTTACTCTGGGCCTGCACAAAGGATGATGTTTCTTAATTTTGTCATGGGGCTTGAACTCTGGGCCTGGGCGCTGTCCCTCAGTTCTTCAGCTCAAGGCTAGTGCTCCACTACTAGAGCCACGGCACCACTTCTGGTGGAGATAAGTCTCACAGACTTTCCTGCCCAGGCTGGCCTTGAATCACGATCCTTAGATCTCAGCTGAGATTACAGGGGTGAGCTCCCAGCACCCAGCCATGTTTCTTAATTTTAACAAAGGTCACAGTCTAATGCCACCATGTAAAAAACCTCCAAGACTAGAATCACATCTAATACAGAGGTGCAGTCTGTTTGGACTTAATTTATAAAATGAAGTCTGGTCAGTTTCCAAGATGTTTTTAGGGAGAGTGGTGTTTGAAAAAAAAAACAAGAAAAAAGCAACAAACTTCACAGTTGGTGCTGGCAGCGCACACCTGCTGTAATCTAGCTACTCAGGAGGCTGAGATCTGAGGACTGGGGCTGGAAGCCTGTAGGGGCAGAAAAGTCCTTAAGACTCCATTTTCCAGGTGCTACTGAAACTAAGAACATATGTGCCAGCCTAGAATACACTGTATTTTGTTTTTTTGGCAGGAAGTACAGGGGAGAGGGCTTGGTTTTAGTCTTTCTCAAGTGCACATTACTAATTCCAATTGAATTTCTGGGTGGTAGAGAATGACTGAAATAAAATTCCCAAGAAGAAAGTGGTTTGGATTTCACTGAAAATGCTCTGATCAGTACTGTTTCCACATATGCAAGGGTTTCTAGATCACACAACACACTGGCACACTAAGATCCTGTGTTGCTGATTCTAGTTTTAAGACTTTCTCTAACTACAGAACTGTCACATTTAAAAAATAATTTTGAAGAGTGCATGTATTTTTTTAATTCCAAGAGACTAATAGCTACACATCTTAATATACATCCAGTAATCATATAAAACATGCATTTATAGATTAATAAGGTATTCTTATCGCCCAGCCACTGAGTACAGATCAAAAGAATAACAGAGTATTTTTCTATCATCATCTTTTGAAAAAGGCTAGAGGGGAGAACTGTGTATCTGCGGCAAAAGAACAGGAAATACAAGCAACTTGACAAGACTAAGTTTATTCTATTATTTTTATTAATAAAAAATTAACCATGATCATATAAAATGAGTGGCTGGGCTTATAGTTTGCTACACCAAAGAAAGTAAAAAATACTTGAGATCATGATACAGTGATTTATAATAGCATTCCTTGAGAGGCATTTTAATTTTAGCAATATGTTTATCTCTTAAATTATATAAAACTAACCCTTTGTGTCAGGGACTAGTCATCACAGCTACTCATGAACCAAAAAGTGTGTCCCAGAGGTGGAATCCAAACACACACTCAAGCCACCTCCCCAAATGATCTTTTGCTAAGTTGCCCAATCAGAAATCAGAGCGTCACCCACACTCCTGTGGGAAGGGGATTTTGCACCTCAAGTGTTAGGAATAAATAACACAAAGTAAGGATGCACCATGATCTCCAAATAAATTAGTATAAGTGCCACCGAGAATTATTAGACATAATCAATGTGTTTAAATACAAAAGTCCAAAAGATACAGTAATTTTATTACATAAAAATTCTCCTGTGTACTAAAAATGTTAACTTACAAGACATATATTTTTATAAGTGTAGCGGGATAGTTATGATGGAATTATTTCACCAAAAAATTTTCATGACTGAAGAACAGGCAGTGGAAATATAAGCACTCCATCCTCTAAATTCTAGACCGTTATACCCATTCTCTAATAATATAAATGTCTGCTCAACTCATCTTTCAAAAATAAAGTCCATTTCGTTCTCCACAAAAGCTTCCTGCGGGGCTGACAAAGTACGCCCCATCTATTAAAATAGGGCTGTCTTCATCTTTGGGTAAGGTGTCGCCACGTGAGAAAGTATAGTCATAGATTACTACATTTTTCTCTGATACAGCAGTGGGGAGTCCATTAAGCACTTTTGAACACTGTACCTTTTAAAGTTTCTTTTTAATATAGCTTTGGGAAAAAATACCTATGGCAAAGTACATTTCATTCTGACTGGACAGCAGAAAAATACCATAAAGAAATGTAGTGTCAATTCTATCCATGATATCTCTTCATGTTAGGTTTTCCACTCTAGGATATGACTGAGTAACAAAAAAGTTTTGTTAAAACATCTTAAAGTCCTTTGACTTAATAGTATTCAGGGAAGACAAAAATGAAATTAAGCACTATAAAGTCTTTAAAAATGTGGTTCTCATTTACAACAATTTCATTAACAGATAGTGAAGTATAGATACAATGTATCTAATACACTAATATCTACATTTAAAAACCTCTAGTAGCATTTAGAGATAGTGAAATCTTTAATACTAATATATATTTGAAACATGTTCACATAGAACCAGGACTACTCCTCCATGAAAAGAACACTTGTTAAAAATAATGAACAGAAACACCAATAAAACAACAGAAACTCATTGCAATTCACTTCACCCAAGGGTATGACACAAGATTTTGGCTTAAGGAGGTAGATTCAAAAGAAAAAGAAAACCAGATACTCCGTTCTTTGTCACTTTTATTCAGTAGTAGTTTTTTTTTCCTTATTTTCAGCGCCAGACATGGCAAGGAGTGATTACAGCCAACTGTTATTAAAACATTTGTTCGCAACATGTACCCCCTTTACCACAGACCCCAAGCTGACTCCTTTTGTGTGCTTTCATTCTTTTTCTTGTTTTTTAATATACCACCACCGAGACCAGGTGGAAGGGGCTAGGTAGGAGATGAAGGGGGAGAGTCCAGGAGGCCAGAGAGGAGGAATGCTACAAGCCACAGTAAGAATGAGCTGTTTTAATTTAAAAAAGGGGAAGGGGTGTACCCCACAAATGATACAGTAATGAGGATACACAATTAAATCCCATAGCATGACTGAAGGCTTTCACTGTGTTTGACGTCATCACAATGGAAGGCATAAAAAGTGGAGTAAATCAATGTTGATACAGTCCAATAGTCTAGTCCATTAGGCAAGATGGTGCAAGAAGTCATTTAAATTAAAAGTGCCCTACCCTTACCTAAATGGCTAGCAGACATGGAGAAGCCCCGGTGGTGAGTGGCACTCTCTCCATGCAGCTATGAGTGTTGTCGAATGGCACACTGTCAAACACTGGGAAGGGTGCCACAATGGACCCTTCTCTTACAGGTACGAATGCTAGACTCAGCTATCTCAACTAAGCAGGATGCGGGCTCTTCTGCTAGGAATGCCAACCCTAATTCACTTTGTCTTGAAATATATACAGATTGTTTGTAGTAGCTACAGCAATGATATTTTCCTTGGGGTGCCAGGCTGTATGAAGGATTTTCTTGTTGAAGTCTAGGCTGTCAACACTTATTTCATCTTTCTTTCGCTTGCCGCTTGCACAGACTTTGCGTGGCTTCAAAACTGTGCGAGGCTTATTGTTCTCTCGTGACGCTTCTAGGGTTATATCTCGCTTTGTGTTCCTGTCGAACATTCTGAAGAAATTATTGTAGGACCCAGTCATGACGACACTGTAAGAGTAGAGCACCCGGTCAGACACGCCAAGAGACTGTGGTTCTACTTTGACCCTGGACCTACACCCCACAGCGAACACGGACATGTAATCAACACTTCCACTTGAATACATTAAACCTGCTTCTGGTGTGACTCTAAAAACTCTTCCAAAGCAGACACATCCTCATTCAACGTTCTTAACTCCCTTGCAACTACAGACCCTGTCATCTACTGGGTTAGCCGCATCTTGAAGTACAGCCCTCTGAAGGATTCACACATTGTCATCTCCCTCACATGCTGTTCTCAAGAAACCAGTGCTTTTTAACGTAATTTATGAACTTTCTAACTTGTTCCAGATAACCAGAGTCCCCTCCCCTGCCAAAAAAGAAAAAGAAAACCCACCAAAAACAACAACTACTCATGGAGGCCGGATCTATGTAATCCAAGATGTCTTGAACTTGAAATCTTCCTGCCTTGACCTATATAGTGTTAAGATTATAGGCCTGTGCCACTACGCCTCGCCTCAGCTAACCCTATTTTACAAATGCTTTTACTAATTCTGTTCACAATAATAATTGAAAATCATTCTGCTTATACCACTAAAACTTTTTTTTATGAATGAATGAATTTTTATTAAACATATAAAATGCAACAATGCTTTGACATATGTCCACATCGTGGAATGGTTAAATCAAACTATTTAACATGTATATTACTTCACTTTTTTGTGGTAAGATTATTACAAACCCACTCTCTTCACAATTTTAAAGTACTTGTTAGACTGTAATTAACCATGGTCTCAATAAGAGACTTTCTGAACTTCTTCCTCCTGCCTAATAGAATACTGGAACATTTTAAATAGCATAGGAATATAACAAGTAAAATAGAGAAGCTGGGAAAAGTTCAAAACAAAAAATATTCAGTTTCTTCAACTATTATAAATAAACTAAATAAATTGAAGGGGTGAGGGAGGAAATGGGAAACTCTAAGTTTAAATCAATGTAAGAAAAATATCAAATACAGTGAACATTGTTTGTGTCCAGATTCAAAAAAGCCAGTTGTAGAAAAGCATTTATGAAACCACCATAAAAATTTGGATGCTGAGGGGGCTGGGAAGGTGGCTCAGTGGTAGAGTGCTTGCCTTGCATGCCTGAGGCCCTGGGTTCAATTCCTCAGCACCACATAAGCAAAAAGGAAAAAGCCGGAAGTGGCGCTGTGGCTCAAATAGTAGAGCACTAGCCTTGAGCTGAAGAGCTGAGGGACAGCGCCCAGGCCCAGAGTTCAGACCCCACGACCGGACCCCAAAAAAAAAAAAAAAATTGGATGCTGACTAAAATTTTATTATATTAGAGATTCTAGGCATGTGTATCTAGTTTTATGTATCATCAGGGTGTTACCACTAAAACTTTCTACGCAAACAATTCCAATATCAGTTCAGCTGGCCCCATTGGCTCACTCCAGTATCTTTGCTGTATATATTTTGAGACTGAAAGTAGGGGGAGAGGAGCCACAGTTTAAGGCAACCCTTGAAAAAAAAGAGTTTGAGAGCCCCTTCTCAACTGTTAGGGTGGCGAGAGGGCACACACTGCCATTCTAAGCTGTGTGGGAGGTGGGATACTAACTACTGTCTGTGGTTCCAGCTATAAATAGGCTTTAGGTAAGCAGGTGACTACCCCAGCAGGAAGCCAGAACCTATCTTATAGCTGGGATTCCAGACAGGCATTTCCCACTGCACACAGCTCCCTGTCAGCCCTACTAGCTCACCACCACCAAGTGTCCTCACAGGCAGCACTTCTAAAGCCTGGGACAGCCCTACAGCTAGACTGGTACCACTACAATACCACCACATTTCCACAAGGTTAAATCACTAATGTAACAAGGGTTAGAAAACCTAGGATATTATCTTCAGTGATGTCCATTCTCCCAATGATCAAAATCAAATTCAGCTTAGTACATGACACTGAAGCCAACGGAATCAATTCCTTTTAAAAGGACTTAATGTAAATCAAGTTGACATTCCCTCATTATAGGAATTTGTTAGTTTTTAACCAATGAAGAACACTTGTGTTTCTGCCTATAATTTTTAAGTTATTATTAAGCATTTCTGTAGCATTCTTGACAAAAATGTATGGTGTGAACTCTAATCCCAAGGAAAAACCAGCTAAGTTCATGTGATTCCACCCCCTAACCCCCAAGGCTTGAACTTCTGGGACTGGGTACTGTCCCTGAGCTCCTTTTGTTCAAGCCTAGCATGGCACTCTACAACTTGAGCCACAGCGTCACTTCCAGCTTTTTCTGTGATTAAACAGAGGTAAGAGTCTCACGGATTTTCCTGCCTAGGCTGGCTTTGAACCATGGTCCTCAGATCTCAACCTCCTGAGTGGCTAGGATTATAGGTATGAACCACTGGTGCCAGGCTTGTTTGATTTTTTTTTTTTTTTTGGGGGGGGGGGGGGTGTCACGGGACACACGTCAGTTGTGGGGATTGAACTCAAGGCCTGGGCACTGTCCCTGCCTGAGCTCTTTTGCTCAAGGCTAATGCTCTACCAACTTTGAGATACAGTGTCACTTTTGGTTTTTTAGTGGTTAATTTGAAACAAGAGTTTCGTGGGAACTTTTCTGCCTGGGCTGGCTGTGAACCACAATTCTCAGATCTCAGCCTCCTGAATAACTAGAATTACAGGTGTGAGCCACCATTGCCTAGCAATGGTGATCTCCCAAGTAATTACCAAAACACTGGAAGTGGAGCTGTGGCTCTAGTGGTAGAGCACTAACCTCTAATGAAAAAGATTAGGGACAGTGCCCAGGCCTTGAGTTCAAGCTCTAAGAATGGCACACACATACATACAAAAGAGCTGTTTAGCATAAAAGCTATACAACAATCATAAAAGAAAATTCCTTATGTAGATAGTATAAAATAGCTGGGCGCAGGTGGCTCATGCCTGTAATCCTAGCTCAGGAGGCTGAGGACCTGAGGATGGCAGTTTGGAGATAGCCCAGGCAGGAGAGTCTCTGTGAGATTCATCTCCAATTTACCATCAGAAAACTGGAAGTAGAGCTGTGGATCAAAGTGATAGAGTGCAAAAAAGCACAGGGACAGTGCCCAGGCCCTGAGGTCAAGCCCCACAACTGGACCAAAACAAAACAAAAAAAGTATATAAAGTAAAATAAGTAACAAAGAGCCAGTAATATAGCAAATTGCACAAGGGAATCTGGGTAAAAGCTAAATGACTTCTTCTGCTATGTTACCAAATTTTCAAGTTTGAAATTATTTCAATAAAACCTTTTCCATGTAAGGGAAACAATTCCCACTTCAAACTATTTTAAACAAGAAGGTGGTAGTGATAGTCCTGAACTACAGCCAATTATATAATGTCTTTTCTCCAAATCTATTTAATTTCCTCTCTCTGCTTCTTTCGTGTCAGGTTCAGTATCGTTCAAAGGCAAGGCTTTCTCATTGTTGCCCACAGGACTCTGTGTTAGCATGGCCAGCCTGTTACTGGGCTTCATGTTAAAATCAGACAATCCTAGTTACAAAAAGTTCTAGTAACATGCCCTACAACACCTAATGTAATGACACAAGAATCATACCAAGCTTCTAAGATAAAACTACTACTGAGTAAAGAACTTCTAACTGTGAATATTTAAATGATTTCAAAGTTGTTTTCTCTTAATTTAAAACATTATCAATGGGCTGGGAAGGTGGCTCAGTGGTAGAGCGCTTGCCTTGCATGCCTGAGGCCCTGGGTTCGATTCCTCAGCACCACATAAGCAAAAAGAAAAAAGCCGGAAGTGGCGCTGTGGCTCAAGTGGTAGAGCGCTAGCCTTGAGCTGAAGAGCTGAGGGACAGCGCCCAGGCCCAGAGTTCAGGCCCCACAACTGGACCAAACAAACAAACAAACAAACAAAAACCCATAATCAAGCAGTAAAAAAAATTTACTGACAAGCCAGGTGCCAGTGGCTCACACCTGTAATCCTAGCAACTCAGGAGGATGAGTTCTGAGGACTGCAGTTCAAAGCCAGCACAGGCAGGAAAGTCCATGAGATTCTTATCTCCAATTATCCATCAGAAAACCAGAAGTGGTGCTGTGACTCAAGTGGCAGAGCGCTGACCTTGAGCTGAAGAGCTCAGGGTCAGACCCAGGCCCACAGTTCAAACACCACGACCAACACCAAAAATTACTGACAATTATAACATTCAAAGCAAGACTTACTAATTTTTTTGATGCTCATATGAAAAAGACTTACTTGATAAAATAGTGAAAAGAATTACACTGTGGCAAAACTGGAGATAAAAATAATGCCCTGTGATATTGCTAAAATGATATAAACTGTTGCCTCTATGAGGTAATATCTCTAGGTAAAGTTTTTTGTTTTTTTTTTTTAGTTGGTCGTGGGGCCTGAACTCTGGGCCTAAGTGCTGCCCCTTAGCTCTTCAGTTCCAAGGCTGGCACTCTACCATTTCAGCCACAGAGCCACTTCCAGCTTTTTCTGCTTATGTGGTGACAAGAAATTGAGCCCAGGGCCTCATGCATGCAAGGCAAGCACTCTACCACTGAGCCACCTTTCCAGCCCTAGGTAAAGTATTAATGTAACAATAAATTACCAATACTTAAAGACTTTCAGTGCTTAATTTTTCATGTGTTATCATTGCAATGCTACATTTTGGATTAGTAAACTTACTTCATGGAATCCTTAGAGAAAAGTGATGTTAAGTTTAGCTTATAATTTATGTCACTCTAAAACTTGCCATGGTTTTACATAATGCTGCAATCATAATGGAGAAGGCATCTACCAATCCCCTTTCTCTAATAAAACTCGCATTTGAAGAGGATTAAGATGACATTACCTGTCTGAGCCATTCCAACAACATTCAAACTTGTCAAATATGCAGTCATTCTCATACAGCGAGCAAAGCTTACTTCTGAGGTATTCATGTACCTGGGGAGATAAGACAGAATCAGTGTAAGATCAAGCCACCTACAACTGGAAAATGATGCTACTAACAAATCCTCATATATTAAAAAACGTCCATACACACACACACACACACACACACACACACACACACACACACACACACACACACATACTTTTCATATTAAATCTTATTTTAACAAAATAAAGGTGTTATAGACTTTTACCAATACACAAATCATTTTTAGGGGCTGGGAAGGTGGCTCAGTGGTAGAGTGCTTGCCTTGTATGCGTGAGGCCCCTGGGTTCGATTCCTCAGCACCACATAAGCAAAAAGAAAAAAGCCGTAAGTGGCGCTGTGGCTCAAGTGGTAGAGTGCTAGCCTTGAGCTGAGGGACAGTGCCCAGGCCCAGAGTTCAGGCCCTATGACCGGACCCCCCCCCCCCAAAAAAAATCATTTTTAGAAAAGCACATTTTCCTAGGGTATAGGAATTATAAATCCCATCCTAGACAGAACATAAATACTCTGAGATAAACTTGACTGAAACAGGGGCTGGGAAGGTGGTTCAGTGGTAGAGCGCTTCCCTTGCATGCCTGAGACCCTGGGTTCGATTCCCCAGTACCACATAAGCAAAAAGAAAAAAAAGCCAGAAGTGGCGCTGTGGCTCAAGTGGTAGAACCCTAGCCTTGAGCTGAAAAGCTGAGGGACAGCGCCCAGGCCCAGAGTTCAGGCCCCATGACCGGACCCCCCCCCCCCCAAAAAAAAAACAAAAAAACAAAAAGGCCAGAGGGGAAGGTAGCTCAGTGGTAGAGTGCTTGCCTCTCATGCATGAGGCCCTGGGTTCGATTCCTCAGCACCACATAAACAGAAAAAGTTGGAAGTGGTGCTATGGCTCAAATGGTAGAGCACTAGCCTTGAGCTGAGGGACAGCACCCAGGCCCAGAGTTCAGGCCCACGACTGGACCAAAACAAAACTTGACTGAAACATTTAGGCAGATAAGAGACTAACAAAAGAGCATTATAGCAGTGTCCATTATCATTACTACTACTACTTTTTTTTTTTGCGGGGGGGGAGGGGGAGAAGGTTGGTTGTGGGGCTTAAACACTGGGCCTGGGCACTGTCCTTGAGCTCTTTAGTTCAAGGTGGGCATTCTACCACTTGAGCCACAGTGCCACTTCTAGTTTTCTGGTAGTTAATTAGATAAGAGTCTCATGAACTTTCCAGCCTGGGCTGGCTCTGAACTGTGATCCTCAGATCTCAGCCTCCTGAGCAGCTAGGATTACAGGCGTGAGCCACCAGTGCCCAGCCATCACTTTCTTTTCAGCTCATCAACTCCTGGCAAATTGTTTTGTTGTTTTGTTTTAGTAGGCTTTGAACTCAGGAACTTGCGCTTGCACATACACTACCATTTTAGCCACCCATCCACTCCTTCTGCTTCAGTTTTTTTCGAATAGAGTCTGTGGTTTTTGCTTGGAGTTGGCCATAAATCACGATTTTTCTATTATGCCTGACATAGGTGTGGGCTAAAAATTTGATTTGTACCATTACTTAAACAATGATGAAAGTGAATGAAAATCTCTTTCATGAATTATAGTTCTATATTTACTCACCTAAGTATGAACTAGAAAATAAGTCTGCTATTTAAAAAAGTCCTCTGAGCAGCACGATATATTCCATCATCAGTACAGCTAAATTACAAAGGAAGTTCAAGTGTTTACTTGCAATGGCGTGTGTGAATTAACTTTTCTTTTTAATGAAGAGAACCAACACAAGCAATAGCAGACAACAGTAGGCCCTCCCTTTCTGTTTTGAGTGTCTTATTATGCAGTTAGTGTAGCCTCAGACACGATATTCCTGAGTGCACCATAATATCCCTGGCGCTAACATAATTTTAAATGTCCATTTTAAGCATAATTGAATTAATTCAAGTTCTATCAAACACTGAGTTGGTATCGGTACCATTACAAACCATTTTCTACATAACCACTTCAAAGAAAAAAGCATGCAAATACCTGGTATGTCTCCACAGGCCGGTTTTCCATATTTAAGTCCCAAATTTTGACCGACAAATAGTCTCTAGTCATCATATAGCGACCACTATGGCTAAATTTTACATCAGAAATAGAGGAGATGATTTCAGAAAAAAATGACCTGTTACTGGGATCTTCTGGTTCTTCAAACACTAAAAATAAGCAAAAAGAAGGTAATATATTTGTGTGTGCACACACGCACGCACCAATACTGGGGTTTAATTTGCAATTTGCAGTCTTATACCTCATTTGGCTTTTTTACTCACAGCCAACACTCTACCACTTGAGCTAAAAGTGCTGGCTAAATGGATTTATCTGCCCAAAGCTCTGAACAACAGTTCTCAAGTTTCAGCCTCTGGAATGATTAGGATCACAAGCATGAGCCACAAGCACCATTTCTAATTTCCTTTTTTTTTTGGGGGGGGGGGGGGGTCGGTTGTGGGGCTTGAACTCTGGGCCTGGGCGCTGTCCCTACGCTCTTCAGCTCAAGGCGAGCACTCTACTGCTTGAGCCACAGGGCCACTTCCGGTTTTCTAGTGGTTTATTGGAGATAAGAGTCTCAGACTTTCCTGCCCAAGCTGGCTTTGAACCGTGATCCTCAGATCTCAGCCTCCTGAATAGCTAGGATTATAGGCGTGCGCCACCAGCGCCCATCTCTAATTTTAAACAGGACCATTTACAAATCTCCTAAGAGAAATAAAATTATAGGCTAATAAAAACCAGGAAAGTATTTCCAACTCTAAAAATTTAATTCCCTCAAAGTTTAAGAAAATGTCTGACTATTAAATTGAAGATGCAGGGTATACAACGCACTTTTTAGTTATACAGCTACTTTAGGAGAATTAAGTGCACCAGGCTAATCTGCCATCTACCAGTAAGGTAGATGGCCAACCATCGCCCTGACAAACATACCATTCTTTCCCACAAACTCACGCCAGGCTATCTTTTTAGTAGCAATGTACCGGAATTTACAAGTACTTGTGGCAGAAAACAAGAATATTACAACTTCTTAACGTTTTGAAGCTAGTATTTTTCTATCTTTAATTTATAAAAGCAACTTCTCAGAATAAATCTTCCTAGAAAGCTCAAAATGGAAAGGGGGAAAAGGGAATGGAGAAAAAAACCCCAAAGGAACAGGCTAGTTTCAGACAAATAAAATAATGCAGTTATAAAGATGCATGGAACTTACATTTAGAGTGCCTGTCACAGAGGGCGGATGCCCTCATGTCACATAACCGAATAGTTCCTTTACTGCTGCTGTATACGAACGTGTTACAGCTGTTTGGATGGAATTCTGCTGCCGTAATCACCTCTGTGAGCTCTTCCATATTGGCAGGCTTGATATCTACAATATCTGGACAGCATTTTATTAAGGAACTCCACTGGGAAAAAGGCCAGTATAATCCTACAATTCTAAAACTAAAATTCATCCACAGGTCTAAAAGGTATCATAATTTTAATGCTAAAAACAACCAAGTAGATTTTTAGAAGACAAAAATGGGAAAAATTAAGACTGTGGGGGCCTTTCTAATTATGCAACCAATCCTAGAAGGCAACCAGGCATAGTGGCATGTCCCTGTAATCTCAGCATTTGGGAGATGTGAAAGCAAGAGGATCATAAGCTCAATGCCAATACTGGCTACTTAGTAAGACAGTCTCAAAAAGCCAAACCAAAATAAAACTAAAACCAAAAAGGAAAACAAGCAAATCCCAGAAGCCATAGAAAACACTGATACTTTGTCAACATTAAAGTATGAATTCTGATAAATTTTGTTAATCTTGAAATGACTATTTGGAAAATACATTTTAAGTAGTAGTAATAGCTGCTACCATTTATCAAGATTTTTTTTTTTGGGGGTCCGGTCATGGGGCCTGAACTCTGGGCCTGGGCACTGTCCCTCAGCTCTTCAGCTCAAGGCTAGCGCTCTACTACTTGAGCCACAGCGCCACTCCCAGCTTTTTTTCTTTTTGCTTATACACTTGTGTGTGTATAGAAAAATATAGGGAAGACTATAAATAGAAGTATGATTTGGAAGGCTGGGGGCATGGTTTATGTGGTAGAATACTTGCCTAGCCTGTACAAGGTTCTAGCACAATCCTGGTACTTCAGAAAAGGGTGCAGGATGAACAATTTCTACTGATATTATTCTACTATTATACTTTATACCTTGTATGCACTTATTTTTCTTTTCTTTCTTTTTTGTCGGTCACGGGGCTTGAACTCTGGGCTTGGGGGCTGTCCATGCACTTATTTTCTAACCTCAATGGGAATATTTCTGATTGCCCAAAACACTCATTATAAAGAAGTGAAATTTCTGCCAGGTGCTAGGGGCTCATACCTGTAATCCTAGCTACTCAGAAGGCTGAGATCTGAGGATCATGGTTCAAAGCCAGCACAGGCAGGAAAGCCCACGAGTACTTATCTCCAGTTAACTACCAGGAAACCAGAAGTGATGCTGTGGCTCAATGGGGGCAGAGTGCTAGCTTTGAGCAAAAGAGTTGAGGGATGACACCCAGGTTCAAGCCCCACAACCAACCAAAAGAGAAATTTGTTTATAAATACAAAAAAATTAAAATAAATCTGAGTCCAATAAGCACAGTATTTTCTTTAGCAAAAACTGTAACAAAGTAGCATAAGCACAAATGAAATCAAGTGGATACTAAAACTTCTGTCTGTAATTTCCAGATGCCAAAGATTTATTCGCAAATCATCTGCAGATAAATAAGTTTCATAATCACTATTAATAGAAATTGAATTGATGTGGTATGTATGAGCATTGGCAAATATTCTTCGTGGACTGGCCTCAACCATTAGATCCATGGGCCTGAAGACTGGCACCTGTTAATAGCACATAGAAAAGAGAATATATAAAAGGTTAACAGTTCAGAACACATCATCAGTATAGTTTTTGAGACAGCATAAAATAGTATATTTTAGACTCAGTTCTAAGAAGCAACAAAACTGACCCTTTATTGGAACAGGAAGAGAAACAATTAGGAAAATTTATCTCCTCTTACTGGTAGCAATGTTATTACAATTTGTACTTCTTGAAAACTATGCAAAATGATTAGTATTTACAACATAGCACCCAATTCTTGGTGTTTTTAAGCTATCAGCTTTGGTCCATTTCTACTTTTTTGATCTCCAAAGAAAATTAATTTTGCAATAGCAAATACAGCATAAAATAGTTGTGTTAGAGTGCTTATTCTATGGCCATCTAAAACCTCCATGTAGTTCAGCTTCTATGTTTAAATGGGCATTTTCATTGTCTTACACCATCACAAAACTGTTGGAGGCCTAGGGCCTAACTAATCGTTCCTATTTAAGTCTTACCCAAGATCCTATCCAGAATAGTATAAACCAGTGTAAGAATCTTTTTCCAAGCACTTACTCGTAGTGTAGTAACTGTAGTGGGGTCTCTATACCTTCCATCTTCTTCTTTCAAGTTATACCCTTCTGGTCTTTTGTCCCTTTCACTGATTTTCCATAATTTTATTGTTTTATCTGGGGAAAGAATGAAGATTTCAAAAGGTAAGACTGGTAGAAAAACAATTTTATTAGGACATTTAAAAATATAGCATTTCATATTTCATTTAAAACTTTACACTTTGGGGACTAGGAAGGTGGCTCAGTGGTAGAGTGCTTGCCTCACATCATGAGGCCCTGGGTTTCATTCTTCAGCACCACATAAGCAGAAAAAAGCCTGCGAGTGGCACTGCGGCTCAAGTGGTAGAGCGCTAGCCTTGAGCTGAAGAGCTGAGTGACAGCGCCTAGGCCTGAAGTTTAGCCCCCACAACCGACCAAAAACAAACACAATACAACAAAACAAAAACCTACCTTGACTAACTTAATAAACAAATACCATTATATTGTGAGTAAAATACATACAAATACAGCACAGAAATTACTGGTGTATAACATTAACATTACTTAAATATATTCCAAGATCTCTATCCTTGAAAAATAACAGAAGCTGCAGGAAAGCAATTATTCATGTGTATGAACACATATTTCTAACTAGGTGAATTCCACACTGCCTAATGTTTAGAACCAAATAGCAGGACACGGTTCCCCTGGTTCCCTTGCTTGCTGGTCCTGTCAGATTCCCTCCTAGCCCTGGATACCTTCACTGGTCTCTCCTTCCCCATCATGGGCTAGTGCTTACTAAGTCTGGAATAGGATATGAAAAGTATTGACTGAAAGCACATGCCTCAATTCCTTCAAGACACAAAATGCCCATGTTTAAAGGTGTATAAAATAGTATCTTCCTAAGAGTTAACTTTTATTTTAGAATCTGTTTTAAGCTTAAAGTTGCAAAGACAGCACAATATTTGTATGTACCCTTCACCTGGTTTCCTCTAATGCCAACATATTTTGCAACCATGGCACATTTGTCCCAAGTGTTTCACTCCAAACTTATAACCTTTAGTCCTCAAGTGCCCTAAGCTTCTCTGACTCAACTGCTTCTCAATGGTAGTCAAGTACTTTGTAGAGCGTCTGTCCCTGAGGCTCTTACTGTACTTATTTTTGTCTGTAAATTCTCTGTAGGAATGAATACCCATCCCTTATTTGGAATTATCACTATGGGGGACTTAAGTATGATTTTTATTTAGTGTTATAAAAAAAAAAAAACAGGGGCTGGGAAGGTAGCTCAGTGTTAGAGCGCTTGCCTTGCATGCATGAGGCCCTGGGTTGGATTCCTCAGCACCACATAAGCAAGAAGAAAAAAGCCGGAAGTGGCGCTGTGGCTAAAGTGGTAGAGCGCTAGCCTTGAGCTGAAGAGCTGGGGGACAGTGCCCAGACCCAGAATTCAGGCCCCACGACCAGACCAAAAAAAAAAAAAAAAAAAAAAAAAGCACATTTTATATGAAAGCATGATATCTTAATCATTTTTTATAAACAAAAACAGGAATCACAAAAACAAGCTGCACAGCACATAATGCCATTTTATAAAAGAATTGCAAAACGGGGGGGGGGGGGGGGGGGGGGGGGAGATGGGAAGGGTAAACAAAGGACGAGGCAACAATGCTTGCTAAGAAATGTACCCATTACCTTGTCCATATAATTGTAACCCCTCTGTACAGTATTTTCACAGTAATAATAAAAAAAGAACTGCAAAACAACTCCCAGAACTTAGCAATGTTTATTGACTCATTTAGAACAATGTTTGTTCGCCTGGTAGATCACTGTTCAAAAACAGAGCAAAATTACCTTTAGTAACTTATCCACCCCCCCCCCCCCGCCCTTTTTTGGTGCCCATCATGGGGCCTGAACTCTGGGCCTGGGCACTGTCCCTCAGCTATTCAGCTCAAGGCTAGCACTCTACCACTTGAGCCACAGCCCCACTTCCAGCCTTTTCTGCTTATGTGGTGTTGAGGAATTGAACTCAGGGCCTCTTGCATGCAAGGCAAGCACTCTACCACTGAGCCACCTTCCCAACCCTTAATTTATTTTTCTGAAATCACCATCTGAGCCAATGACAAAGTTGTCCAGTGACAACCAGTTTATACAATGTGCATAATGGTTTCAACCTTCCACACTGGACCCTACTTTTTTTTTTTTTTTTTGCATGTGTGCTAGTCCTAGGACTTGAACTCAGGTCCTAGGTGTTATCCCTTAGCTTCTTTGATCAAGGCTCCACTTGAGTCACAGCTCCACTTCTAGCTTATTTGGAGTAGATTATTACGTAAGAGTCTTACAGACTGCCCTGCCAGTCCAGACTGGCTTCAAACTACAATCCTTAGATCTCGGCCTCTTCCTTGTTGGCCTGGTGCTGGCCCCATGCTCTTTCACTCAAAGGTAATGCTCTACCACTTTGAGCCACAGCTCCACTTTGTTTTCTGGTGGTTAATAGGAGGTAAGAGTCTCAAGGACTGTCCTGCCTGTGCTGGCTTTGAACCATGATCCTCAGCCTCCTGTGTAGATAGGATTATAGGCATGAGCCACCAGCACCCAGCTTGGACCTACTTTGTACACATATAAGAACACAATCTCTCATTGTTTTGTTTACAATTCATTTTCACAACAAAGACAAAAACTGACAATGTATTCTACAATACTGTTAAGTATTTTGTTGGAATTCAGGTACCAAATGTATTTTGGAGGCACTTTTAATTCTGTTTACAGGTAAAAAGTACATGGAATCTGGCCCTTGACCTAGACACTGGAATACACAGCAGCTTCTGGTCCACACCGAGCCTCTGCAGTGCTGAAGCGTCTGACGGCTGTCAAAGAAGCATGATGAAGCCTCTACGGCAGAGCCATGCACAATAAACAGACGAGCAAGGTGAGTTTATTTTGATCTACATTCTGTGTAGAAAGGAGTTTCCTGGTCTTTTCTCTTCACAGAGACTGCTCAAGGACATATCCATTATAGAACACGCACACATAGAGAACAAAGGAAAAAGACTGACTTACCATTGGTAGACAATAAAAACTGAGCAGCATTTTTCTGGGGCAACCACCTAATTTTGTTGATCTTCTCTTCTATTTCTAAACTTTTCAAGTAGTCAAACTCTGGTTCATGGCTCTGGAAGGTACTGTAAACATTATATTCTCCTCTGCTATGAGACTGGATTTTGTTCTAAAATGGAAAAAAAAAAAAAGATTTGGAACAACTGTTGAGAAACATTCCAAAGAAATCAAATAAGAAATTCAATCTCAACAAACTAAAAATAGAGTGACTTAGCTTTATCTTATATGTAATTATATTCTACTTTGTGTATTTAAAGATTTCACAGAATATAGCTCAGATGAAGAGAAAAAAGCTAATGTAAGCTTCATTCAATAGCAAAACAGTGGATCAATGATATTACTAATTTACTATTATATATTAATGAATACAGAATCAAACTGATTAAGAGAACAAAAAATTAAAACTAATGACACAAAGAAATTGATCTAAAAGTCAACACTCTTTCTCTATCCATTGTAGAGGAACAATTTCCAGTCTGCTGTTAAATGATGTTTCATATCCTTTTCCTTTTTAGGTGTCTGTCTCTTTGGGAAGAGTCTTGTCTTTTTCTTTTTTTTTCTTTTGTCGGCCGTGGGGCTTCAACTTGGGACCTGGGCACTGTTCCTCAGCTCTTTAGCTCAAGGTGAGAGCTCTACCACTTGAGCTACAGCACCACTTCCGGTTTTCTGATGGTTAAGTGGCGATAAGAGTCTCATGGACTTTCCTGCCCAGGCTGGCTTTGAATTGCGATTCTCAGATCTCAGCTCCTGAGTAGCTAGGATGGCAGGTGTGAGCCACTGGTGCCCGGCACCTTTGGGACGGTTCTTTCATAAATACAATAGCTCCATTTGACCCCTATGACATACTCTTAAGACTGAAATCATTGAGAAATTTTGCTAGCAATTAAGTCCACATTCAGGACGACCCAGCTGTGCCCCCATGGCTCTATCAACAATGGCTGATCCTAGAATAGGAGCTCTTCTTTCAAGCCTTAAATATACTGATGATTTGATTCTTTTAGGATCAGTTTGAGAAAAATAGAAGCAATTAGATAAAAACACTATACCTGTGAACTTCTTTAGTTAGCACTAAGGCCTCAGCAAAAGGAGAAATTATAGTCATGTTTACAATTTCATCTTCACACAATTACAACTTTGAAAACACTGAAAAGTGTCATTCAAAAACGAAATCTATGAAAAAATGGTTCAAATTTTAAAAAACTTAAGCTGAGCTATCAGATAAAGTGTTTACAATTACTTAGTAACAATAACCTACTGTATCTCCTGATTCAGAGAATCATGTTGGAAGACAAGTTCTGGCTTTTTTCAAATAGCCTGCTGATGATCAGGATTGTTCACTCACATAAAACCAGAAGTGGCACTGTGGCTCAATTGATAGACTGTAGCCTTGAGCTGAAGAGCTGAGGGACAGCACACAGGCCCAGACCAACCAAAAAGAAGAAGAAGAAGCCTATAATCCCAGAAAGCTGAGATCTGAAGATCACAGTTCAAAGGCAGCCTGGGCAGGAAAGTCTAAGACTCTTACCTCTAATTAAACACCAGAAAATGGAAATGGAGTTGTGCCTTCATGTGGTAGAGCACTAGACTTGAGGGAAACAGCTCAAGATAGCACCCAGGCCCTGCCCCAAGTTCAAGCCCCAGGCCCGGCACAAAAACAAAAAACAAAAAGTAAAATGAAGAGTACCAAAGAACAATAATTACCCACCCTGGGAATACGCAGGGGGTAAAAACCAAATCCAGAGTTTGGTTCCCAACCACCTTATCTTATCTATTAACTAAACACTCAAGTATCATGTTAGAAGAAATGTCAGAAATCTACCAAAAAATTACTCTCCCTGTCACATGGATCACTGTTGATACCAAGAAAGCTACAATACACTAGATAACAATGTGATATTCAGAACGGATATCCTCAATTCTTTCCATGGACAATCCAAGAAGAGACCACAGTACATTATATTATGTGCACACAGGAAGGTTTTTGCAAGGGTGCAAACTCCTTCTGATAATGGCTATCTGGATACTTTTGCATGGCCCGTGATGACGCAGAGGCAGAAGAGCCCACGCAGCTGACCTGAAACAGCACATTCTGTGTGTGTGTGTGTGATCCTGTCCCATACCAATGATTTTGCAGGCCTTACATAATCCTAGGGCCAGACATTCCCTGCAATTCCCTTTTCTATGCTTCTGCTCCCAGTGCATGTATCTCTTAGTCAAAATGCAAAGAAATGTACTAGTCATTCAGAGACTCTTCTTTCAGTTCCAGTGTATTTCAGATAGGTATTGCTTCAATGATTTTTTAGCTGCTATCTAATAGATTTGTAATTAATATTTGTATTACGTTGCTTCAACTGATGCTCTGTAGTAGAAACAGGACACAAGGAAATTGAGGGAACATAGGTAAGGAGATTTCTCTGAGGTAATCTCTCTACCACTGTGTAGGGAGTCAGAGATTGAGAGGGCAGCAATGAGAGGTGGACACATGAATGGAGGGAGAAGAGTGAACAAATGCAGCCATTATATTCAATGGACATTATATAAAAATTGAACTACCAAACTTGAGGGTTGGGGTGGGGAAAGATGAGGGAAAACAATGGAAGGGGTGATACTGATCATGATCAAGATGCACTATACTTAAACCTGACTTCTGGGTGCTGGTGCACACACCCGTAATCCTAGCTACTCAAGAGGCTGAGATCTGAGGATTGCATTTTGAAGCCAGGCCAGGCAGAAAAGTCCACATGAGACTCTTTGTCAGTCAAGGGGCTTAAACTCTGGGGAACTGTCCTTGAGCTCTTCAGCTCAAGGTGAGCACTCTACCACTTGAGCCACAGCACCACTTCTTGTTTTCTGGCAGTTAGAGATGGGTCTCAACAGCCTTTCCTGCCCAGGCTCGCTTTGAGCCTTGATCCTCAGATCTCAGCCTCCTGAGTAGCTAGGATTACAGGTGTGAGCCACCAGTACCCCGCTGCACGTGAAACTCTTCATCTCCAATAAACCACTCAAAACTGGAAGTGGTGCTGTGGCTGAAGTGGTAGAGCGCTAGCTAGCCTTAAGCACAGGGGCCCAGAGACAGCAACAACGCGTGAGTTCAAGCCCCACAACCAACAAAAAGAAAAAAAGGGCTAAATGTTATCTGTAACCTTTAAGCTATGCTCAGCAATAAGCAGAAGTACCTTTACATGATCTTCTACTTCTCAAAAATGTAATACCCAAATGCCTTGGAAACTTTCAAGAGATTAGTTAAGTAGCCAGGTACCAGTGGCTCTCACTTGCCATCTAGTTACTCAGGGGGCTCAGATCTGAGAATTGAGCTTTGAAGCCAGCTCAGGTAGGAAAAGTCCATGAGACTCTTATCTCTAATTAATCATCAAAAAGTGGATAGTGGAGTTGTGGCTCGAGTGGTAGAGTGCTAGCCTTGAGGAAAACAAGGGACAGCATCTAGGCCCTTAGTGCAAACCCCAGGACCAGAAAAAAGAAAAATCAGTAAGTAGCATTTGATGGCAGGCTGGACAGAAAGCTAGAAAAAAAAGGCTCACCACAAAGAAATGGCTGAACAATAATACCCAGGTCTTTCAATTCCCAGTTCAAACTCAATCGAACTTCTCTCTAATGCTAACTACAGAAAAAAGAGGGCACTCAGCAGCAGCTACTGTATCTAAGTACTCCCTAAAGGTTTTGGATTTCAGAATTTTTCACATTTGGGAATATATGCACAATGAAATACCTTAACAGAATGTAAACACAAAATTCATTTGTTTCATCTACAACTTACACCAATAACACAAGGTAGCTTGCACAGCACTTTTAAGTCATTATTTTCATCTTATGACCATCTGCCACTCAAGGTCAAGGGTAGAACTCCTGCACCTGTGGTATTAGGTTCATCTTATGACCATCTGCCATTCAAGGTCAAGAATGGAATTCCTGCACCTGTGGCATTATGTTGCTTCTCAAAGAGCTTGAGATTTGAACATTTCACATTTCTCATTTTCAAATTATAGGTGATCAATCTATACATTAAAAAGATACAACTAAGAACGATTTTCTTGTATGATCTGAAACAATTAGCCTCATTACCACATAAGAATTTATTCTATTTTATTAAGAATACTGATCTCAATTTATAAAGAATTAGCTTTTACTCATTTAAACCAATCAAACATAATCTTAGAAAGTTACAAAGAAGAAAATAATACCATTCCACTTAATAACCCCCTTTCCTGGCTTTGTATACAGGTTGATGAATTTTGTTAAACTATGTTCTTGTGAACTCCAATCTAGTCTTTCAAAATCATTCAAAATGGTAATTAATATATTTATCCAACACTACTTATTTTCGGGGATAAGCATGCTTTCTAAAGTGTTTCCTATATTCTGTTTTCAAGTTTGGGAATATCAACAAAAAAGCAAGAATAAAAGAAAATCCAAGAAAATGCCATCCAACCTAAAAAAGAAATAAAAAAGGCCTCATAAAGATCTGAAATGAGAAAAGAACCTCCTTGATATTTCTCCTTAGTTGTCCCTAAATCTCACTCCCCTTCCCCACACATTTGCCTTGCAAGGTATTTTGTCAGAAAGTGAAAAACATCAAAGCAACCCTGAACAAGTAGGCTCCTACTACAACTGCTGCACACCTAATTTAAGCACCCATGGAAACAAACAGAAAAGTCTATCAAAATTAAAGAACATCACCATCTACTCTCACAACTGCTCAAGTACTGGAAAAACTATTACCTCACTAACCAAGAAAAAATCCCACCCCATTTCCTTTGTTGTCAAAGGCTATTATGTAAGTTGTAAAAATAAACCAGGCAAGATAGCATGGGTCAGCTAACTCCAGACATGCTGTCAGAACACTGGGTTATGAATCTCAATCTCTGACTCTCCCCACATGATGGTAGAGATGACCTCAGGGAAATCTCCTTACCTATGTTCCCTCAATTTCTTTGTCTCCTGTTTCTACTACAGAGCATCAGTTGTAGCAACCTAATATAAATATATTAATTACAAATACTAAACTACAACCCCAAATCCCAGATCAAAAGGAGGGATTAAAAATACCAAACAATGTGCTAAATCTCTGCTGCTACTACTATATGACATAAGGCCCATAAAGTTTAACGAAGAGCTTTACCAATAGGTAAGAATAAAAAAGCCACAGTAGATCAAATGCCACTGTGTTTTGCCAACAAATCTGTATCAGTATCACAGATTAAGAAATACCTACTGGAAGTATCGTGCTTACGTGCCTACAGTCTCAGCGACTCAAAGGGTAGTGGCAGGTAGAAGCCCAGTCCACCTTACTGAGAATATCTCAAAAATAAAAAATGCAAACCAAAGGCATAGCTCAGAGAGGGCTTGCGTAGCAGGCCTGAGGGCCAGTAGGCCCCATTCCCCCTGCCGAGCCCAGCCCTGTGGATCAGCAGGAACGATGGGATACCCAGAATGCACTTTTTTCTGGTATTTATCTAAAAAGTTGGACAAATTAATCTCTAAAGTCCCTTCCACCTTTCTATCTAACCCTATTTTACAGATACATATGGATGGGAATCCCTAAATTTTCACCCAATTGTATTAATTGTAAAGTACATGACACAGAACTTGAAGACAACATGGTTTCAGGCCCACTTTAAAATAGGGGAATGTATCAAATATACATTAACAAGAGATGAAGTTTCAAAGACGTGTGTATGTGTCAATCATCATTATCAGTTATTTCACCCATCTCTTAAAATGTATTTTAAGCAATTCCCAATCTTCATTCTGCTCATTTTTCTTAGGAGGATATATATATAAGTACTTGACTTATTAGCATTTTGGAATCTGTAGAGGGATTTCAGAAGAAAACCACGAGAAATGATTATTCTTTCATATAAATTTCATCTTATTTTCTTCTCCCCTCCTTCTCCTTCTTTCATTTTTTGCTGGTACTGGGGTTTGAACTCAGGGCCTGGGTACTCCCCCTTAGCTTTCTCAATGGAGCCTCTGGAGGTTTTTTTCCTTTATTCTGTCCAAGTTGGCTTCAAAACTCTGTCCTCCATCTCAGCTTCCTGAGTGGCTACGATAACAGGTATGAGACACAGGTGCACAACATTGATCTTATTTTCTGAAACCAGGTAAAATATTTGAGCAATCTCACTAACTACCTGAATATCTTCATGTCTAAATTAGTTTGTTATTGAGTTTTTAGAAAAACATTAAACTATAATTTATCTACAACTATCGACTAATTCCATATTACAGCAAGTATTCACCCTATTTTCTCCTAAATTCCAGTCCTGTTTCTAGAGCTTGAACTCAGGGGATGGGTACTGTACCTGACCTTTTTTGCTCATGGTTAGTGCTCTACCACTTGAGCCACACCATAGCTCTATTTATGGCTTTTTGATCGTTTACTGAAGCTAAAAGTCTCATGAACTTTCCTGCCCAGGCTGGCTTTGAGTTGTGAATCTCAGACCTCAGCCTCCTGAGTAGCTAGGATCACATGCATTAGCCTCTAGCGCCCAGCCTCAACATCTGATTTTGACTTTAATCAAACTGCCACCTATAGAAGGTGAAAACATTTCCAAGTTAGCCTTTGTCAACATTATTATGTATAACTAAAATCACTGACAAAATTCATGTTTACAAGTTTTTCTTTAAGTTCTTTTCCTTAAAATGTATGTAAAAAGCCATGACCTTTAAGTAAAAACTAGACTGTGTAGAAAATACTTATGAAAGCCTGCTCTAAACTCTAAAAAGCTAGCATTCATTGGTTAGCTAACACGAAAGGCATGAAGAACAACAACAACAACAAAAACCCAAAACAAACAAGCAAATAAAGACACCAAGTCAGAAGCTATGGGTACTGCGTTTGCTATTTATATCTTATTTGTAAATAAAGGGTAATTGTGCTAATACGTAAAGTGTAACTTCTCCAAGTATTTCAAGATTCTAGTCAAGTGTTAGCTGCTTGAAAACAGAAACAGAAAACGTGATTGAATTGGCCCCTTTCCCACCAGACCGTTCTTTGTCAAGCACAGCTGGAGTTTTAGTTTTCTTTGCTTCCAACCAAAAAAGCTAAATTAAATAAAAGGAAACATATTTAGTGTTTGTGCATCTTCTAATCAGACACTATCAATCATTTCTTTTAAAATTAAGTTACCTACCTCACTGGGGTGTTGTGAGGACTAATTCATTAGTGTTTGTAAAGCACTTTGAGATCCTCAGGTCAAAGGCGCTATAGAAGTGCAAAGCAGTAGTATTATTACTAGAGTCTTTGCTTATTCCAGGAACTTCACAATCCTTTAAAACCTAGCTCGGAAGTATGATTTAGACATATTTGTAAAACCCTATGATTTATATACAATATGTTACGTTCTTTTTGAATATAATAGACTGGGTTTGGGGGCAGAGGTTTCAAAACAAATGGTTTTCTAAAGGATAAACCTTGACCTATAAACAGAGGGAATGAGCCAGGGAAAATAGGTCTGACAAATTTTATCAAATAATTTTAGTGAGAAATTTTGTCAGTCAGATTAGAAGTATGCCTAAAGCGAAAGAAAAACAAGAATGCACTTAAATCACAGATTCTACAATGAGAAATTTCTTCAAAGAGCGAGGGAACAATGACATTTAAATCACAGTGACAGTATTAGTATTAACTGGTATCAAAATAACTGAGCTGCTTTTTCTTTAGCCCTACACAAAGCAAATCAGGCACTGAGATGGGGTCAAAGTTACTTTTAGTTCTAAGGGAAACATTTTCACTGGGTACAGGCTTCAAAACCAGTTAAAAGTATGGAATAATTCAACTACTTTCCACCCTCCTCTGTAACCAAATCTTTTTTACAATTAAAGTGTGTTTTAAAATCAAAACAGATGTACATGTACACATAACAAAGCTGAAAGAACTAGAGCTATGTATAGATTGAATTCTACTTGACAGATTCCTTCTAAAAACGTCAACACCCTTTGATGAGTTTCTCCAGGGTAATACAAACTCTAGTCTCAAGGTCAAGATTCAACTTTAAATACTCACCTCCTGCTCTTGTTGAAAGATGACGACTCTACCACCTTTATCTCCTGTTGCTAGTAATTCTCCAGAATGATTAAATTCTACTGTAGAAATTATATCTGCTGCATAATTGAAACAGAAAACAATAAGGCATTAGTTTTTGTTCTCTAAAGCTTCCTAACACATTCCACGCCTACATATCAATGTGCTACCAGAAATAAAGCCCAAAGTTCTTACTGGATGCCTTAATCCACCAAGAAAAAAAATTCTCACAAAAAAGCATGAAACTTTTTATAAGAACACAACACATCCTGAAAGCATGAGGCTTTGAGTTCCAAACTCCAATTCCCCCCCCACCTCCAAAAAAACGTGAAACTTCACTGAATTTTGCACAATTACTTAAGAAATCTTAAATGACTTCCCTAGTATTGGTAGCATCTATGATTCTTATTTTCAGCCTATGTTTTTTTTGGGAGGGAAGGGGATCAATCCTAGGGCTTGAACTTGAGGCCTGGAAGCATCCCTGAGCTCTTCTACTCAAAGCTAGCATTCTACCACTCCGGGTCACAGCACCACTTTTGGTTTTCTGGTCGTAAAGACTTTCCTGCCTAGGATGGCTTTGAACCTAGATCCTCAGATCTCAGCCTCTTGAGAAGCTGGGATTACGGGCATGAGCCACCAGTGTCTTGCTCAGCCTGGTCTTCTTTAGGATAATAGTATTGTTGTTTTTTTCTCCTTGCAACTCAAGAGTACCTTATTCAAAGTTTCTAAAAGTGGGTTTGACTTGCTAAGTTTTAAGGCCATAATTTAGATTTATGCTAGGATTCCATCTGAAATTATTTTTAGTTAAAAAGTTATCCCAAGTGACCAGACAGTCTCCATCTCAGCAATCCAGGAATGGAGGTTCATATCCCAGCTACAGAAAAGGCGTTAAGTAGGAGAGTAGCAATAGGCAAAAGCTGCAAGACCACACACACACACACACACACACACACACACACACACACAGACGTACATGTGTGTGTGTGTGTGTGTGTCTATGTATAGGTTAAAAAAAAAGGGGAGGGGATGATCTGGATTGTAGATTTCTGTAAGCTCCACTTGAAACCCTTAAGTGAAATTCCTGGAAATGCCTCCAAAGACTAAAAGGCTAAGGTTCCTAAAATACTGTAAACATTGTAACTAATAAACACTTCCGGAAATGTAGCTATATCTACTTCATCAACATAGCATAGATTTTAAGGTCATCATGGTGCTCACAAAAATTACAAAAACCTGCAGTTTGGAGCTGGGAAGGTGGCTCAGTGGTAGAGTGCTTGTCTTGCATGCATGAGGCCCTGGGTTCGATTCTTCAGCACCACATAAGCAGAAAAAGCTGGAAGTGGCGTTGTGGCTCAAGTGGTAGCCTTGAGCTGAAGAGCGGAGGGACAGTGCCCAGGCCCAGAGTTCAGGCCCTACGACCGATAAAAAAAAAAAAAAAAAACAAACAAACAACAACAAAACCATGCAGGTCTTAAAATTCTGCATTCTGACTATTACCACAAAGATGGCACATGGGTTATACATGTATAGCTTAATGGCAGAGCATTTGCCTCCCTAGAATATCCATGGCCCTGGATTTGGTCCCCAGAACCACAAAGGGGTTGGGGTGCAGGAGGGCGGGAGGGGAGAAAGCACACACAAGTACTTGCTGGCTTGCAAGAACAATTGTTTTCCTTTTTTTTTGGGGGGGGGGGGGTCTGGTCATGGGCCTGAACTCTGGGCCTGGGCGCTGCCCCTCAGCTCTTCAGCTCAAGGCTAGCACTCTACCACTTGAGCCACAGCGCCACTTCTGGCTTTTTTTCTTTTGCTTGCGGGGTGCTGAGGAATCGAACCCAGGGCCTCATGTACGCAAGGCAAGCGCTCTACCACTGAGCCACCTTCCCAGGCCCTTCACTTTTTTTTTTTGTGGTGGTAAGGAGGGACACCAGAGTTCTTAGTACATGCTAAGTATACACTCTCACTGGGCAGCACTCCTAGTTTCAACCAGTGTGGTTTTCTAACATGTAATAAAATTTCTGTACTTAGCATGGTAATATAGTGGATCTTTTCCATAAATAATTAAAAAAGCACACCTCTACCAAATCAGTTTCCTCACTGTTATTTCAGTAAGAAGACAAAGATAAAGAACAAGATTAATTATACAGAAGAAGCTATCCAGAAAAAGTTCCCAATAAAAATGTGCAATAACACCAGGTACTGGTGGCTTACACTTAGAATCTGAGCTACTCAGGAGGCTGAGATCTGAAGATGAAGTTTTGAAGTCAGCCTGAACAGCAAAGTCAGAAAGACTCCTATCTCCAATTAACCACCAAAAAAGCTGAAGTTGAGCTGTAGCAAGAAAGATCAGGGACAGTGCCAAGGCGGAGTCTAAGCTCAAGGATGGGCAAATTCCAACACCCCTCCACACACACAAAAGACAAGTACAATAACCAAGTACTTCTTTCAGTAAAAGTACTTCTTTAAGTAAAAGAAAAAACTAAAATTTAAAAATGTAGGGAACTGTTCTGCTTCTATCCATGAGGGAGTTAAGATAATCTGGACTTATAGTCCTGCAACGAGTAACAAGAAAGTGAAACAAAAGCACAAGAGGCAACAGGAAGTTTTCAATGAACAACACACAGTACAGGACAGCAAGCCCTTGAAAGGGCTCACGTGTGTAGATTAGGAGTTCCTAGGACATGGTGGTGGCAAGCCAGAAGAACCCAACGGAGATCAGTAATCTCACGGGGTTTTGAAACTAGGATTAAGGGCACTAGGCACTATGTTGAAAATTTATACAACTTGTGAGTGGGGAAAAAACAGAGAGTGCGGAAGGGGGAAAAATGTACTAACTACCCCACTTACGTAACTATAACCCCTATGTACATCACCTTTGTAACAAAAATTTAAAAAAAGAAACTAGGAGTAAAGGAGAGATGAAGTAGCCAGAACTGGTAGGCAGAGTACCTCAAACAAACTTGTAGAAAGAGAAAGCTAGCGGAAGAGATCTCAGAATTTGGCTGAACATGAGTCATGTGTGGAGTGACACCAAGCCTAGGAAAGAATCCCCATGGTTAGGGTTCCTTCCAACCAAAGCTTTTTTTTTTTTTTTAAAAAGTGTAATTCTGTGCTAGTACAAAATCCACATGCAACAATGTAAATTCATAATGTCTGGTCTCCTGTCTAAAATTACTAGGGATGTAAAATGGCAGGAAAATATGATCCTTGGCCAGAAGAAAAACCTATAGAATCAGAACCAGAAATGACAAAAATGATGGATTAAGGTCCTAGCAGACATCAATTACAGCTCTATCAGAACATTACAGAAAAAAAATAAAATGAAAAGTACACTGACATGAAAGACATACCAGATAGAATTAACAGATTAGATACCATAAAGGGGGGGGGGGGGGAACCTCAAGAACTGCAGACCTAGCAACACAGTCAAAACAAAATGAAGACCTGGAGATCAAAGGTTTGACCAGCACCAGTACAGCCGTAGATTAGCAGGGAAGAGATAGCTGAAAAGTTGGCATCAATGTGCAATATACATGCATGATGACATCTACCATAGAGGAAAACATCAGTCCTACCCACATCATTTGGTACAGGATTGGAGACAACAGTTTTCACCAGCTGTCATTCGCTTGTCTGCCTGCATTGATAATTCTGTATGGTCTGTGATATTTTAAATATCCAAATGGCCTTTGACAGAGGAAAAGTTCCCACCCCAGAGACAACCATCACAAAAAGGGTCAGTTATAAATGCAGCCTTGCTGGTGGCTCAGACCTGTAATCCTACAGGAGACTGAGCTCTGAGGATTGCTATTGGAAGACAGCCCAGGGAGAAAAGTCTGTGAGACTCTTATCTCCACTAAACTATCAAAAAAATCCAGAAGCGGAGCTGTGGCTCAAGTGGTAGAGTGCTTGCCTTGAATAAAAAGCAGCTCAGGGACAAACAGACAGACACACAAAATGGAGCCTTGTGGAGGTATGCAATAATGGAAACTCAAACACTATTAGCAATCTTGCTTTGTTGAACCTGCAAAACCATGAGGGATTCTTTGCGAAACTTCAACATCCAAAGTAGAGTTTTCCCTTGCATTATAGTTAATTTCATTAAAGCCATATATACATTATATACATTAAAGCCATGCACCCAAACTTTTGTTATATAAACTAGATTTGGGCTTTAGCCTTAAGAAGTGGTGTTTTCCTCCGGTATCATGAATATGTGGCAGAATAGTCTGTCATAGAGACTTCAAAACTCCACACTTGGCCCATGCCTAGTAAATGCCCATGATGTCATCATTTATTGGTAAAATTAAAGTACAAAAGAAATCATGCAAACAAAGGACTTTTATTATATGTATATGTCAATTACAAGGTATAGTAAAAATGATATATAAATACTTTTATTCAAAGACATTAACTTTATAACTGCAGGGGTGAACAGAAGTTCATACAAGTCTAAAGATCTACCAGGATGGGACTTGGTAGAGAGAAAGGATACCTAAAAAAATAACTGACAAACAATGTTTATACTAACATGAAAAGTATTTTTTTCCTAAAAAGGTGTGCAATTCAAAAAAGAGAACCACAGTGAAACTCTTTGGTACAATATACACTAAAAGAATGAAAACAGAATATAAGAGGTTTATATGAGTGGAAGATGAAAGCAGGTCAATATGGTCAAAATGATAAAAATAGAAGGCTGAAAACAGCTGACGGTTGTAAGAGGGCAGGGGAGGACAAGCGGGAAGGAGGTAAGTGGGCTGGAGGGGGAGGATGGAGCACAGTGTATCTACATGCATGGGAATGTCACCATCAAACCCCTCTTAGAGCTAATGTATGCCAATAAAAAAAATCTTTAAAAACAGTGCAAAGGTTAAAAAAAAGAAAACAGTGGTCACTAAAAACGAGGCAACTTTAAAGAGGAAGAATACCACAGTATGGAACCTACCCCTGAAACAAGCACGGCTAACAGATGAAGAGTCATTTACAAATTCATTCAAATAAACAATCATCTATCAGATGTATTTATGTACAGTAAAATTCCTTTTTAAAAGATAATTTATGTAATGGGATTAAAATTAACAAA